CTTTTTAACTTTTATAAAAACTTTATTTGGTATTTCATATATGCATATAAGGTGTTTTGATCAAATCCGTGCCCACTCCCTCCCCTCCAACATTTTCCCCTCTGAAGAGGTAACGGGGGCATCTTTTAAGGATTAGATACAAGCTCCCAAAATACTTTCAATATTATTTATTATTTTTATGTGTATTAGTGTTATGCCTGCGTGTAGGTAAGTGTACCCATGTCATGAAATGCCTGCGGAGACAGAAGAGGCTGTTGGATCCCCTGGAACTGGAGTTACAGACAGTTGTTAGCTGCCATGTGGGTGCTGGGATATGACCCTGGGTCTTCTGCAAGAACAGTGTTCTTAACCACTAAGCCATCTCTCCAGCCCCAAGGAATATGAGTATTACATGTCGGAACACAGTTCCTCTTGCTTATAAACGTATAACTGTCATTTTTTTAGCGTGGGAAGACGTTAAGCTATTTGGTAAAAGAAACAGAGAAAAGTTCAGTAGTTTCAGTAGGTACATACTTGGCAGTAGCAGTTAGAGAACAGATATGGGAAGTGCTAATAAATTGCTAGACAGTTCTAATAAAGAACCAGCAAATCATTTATCTTTCAATTTTTATCAAAATTATTTTGAATTACATAAAAATTTTACTTGAGGAACAAAGATTAAGACCCTTTAGGAAAATTTTGTATTATCCTGATTTTACTTTATCCCTTTCTTTTAATTTTTTAAATTTTATGAGAGAGAGAGAGAGAGAGAGAGAGAGAGAGAGAGAGAGAATCAGAGGAAAGTTCTGTGGAATTAATTCTCCTTCCACAGTTTTATGGGTTCCAGGGATGGAACTCATCGGACATCAGGCTTGTGTGATGGCACCTTTACCCTCTGACATCTTGTTGAGCTCTCCATTAATTTTTTAGAGGTTTAAATAAGTAGTAGCTCTGTCATGTTTTTCTCCCTCCTGCTTTTTAGTGACTTATGTGTTTAAGCAAGACTAAAATGTACAGGCTTAATGAGTTGAAAGTAATTATACCATTTACTTTTTAAAAAAAAATTAAAACTCTGTTTTCTTTGACTATTAGGCAAAGTATAAAGAAGTAAAGGCAAGAAATGGACAATTACTAAAGATGCTTCAGGAGGGAGAAAG